AACGACATATTCGCCACCATTCTATCTAAATTTCCCAAAATAACGAAACCAGACTACAGTGAAAACACTGTCCAACATTCTGTAGTACACCGGATCATCACAAAAGGTCAACCAACTTCGGCACGTCCACGCCGATTACCACCGGACAAACTGAATGTTGCAAAAGCTGAGTTTGATCATATGATGCAGCTAGGTATAATACGTCCGTCAAGTAGCCCCTGGGCATCCCCACTCCACATGGTGCCCAAGCGAGACCAAGATTGGCGACCCTGTGGTGATTATAGATCATTGAACAACCTGACATTACCGGATCGCTACCCAATCCCTCATTTACATGATTTTTCTCTCACTTTACATGGCAAGCAAATTTTTTCTAAAATCGATCTTGTGCGAGCGTACCACCAGATACCAGTAGCATCCGAGGACATTGCAAAAACAGCCATCATTACTCCATTTGGTTTGTTTGAATTTCTAAGAATGCCTTTTGGATTAAAGAACGCCGCACAAACATTTCAACGATTTATGGATGAGGTCACTAAAGGCCTAGATTTTGTTTTCGTGTATATTGATGATGTCTTAATAGCTAGCAGTTCGATCCATGAACACGCTGATCACCTACATCAATTATTCGAAAGATTTCAGAAATATGGCATAGTGATTAACCCATCCAAATGTATTTTCGGAGTTGAGAGTTTAGAGTTTTTAGGTCACTTGATCGACAAACGTGGAATTAAACCTTTGGATACAAAAATAGAAGCCATCAAGAATTTTCCAGAACCAGACTCATGGAATAAACTTCGACGTTTTTTGGGGATGATAAATTTTTATCGTCGCTTTATTCCACATTGCTCAGCCATCCTACAACCTTTGACGGAGGTGTTAAAAGGTAAAGTCAAAAAGTTCACATTACCCTCCCAAGCGAAAGATGCCTTTTCTGCAGCTAAAACAGCAATCGCTTCTACTACCATGCTGACCTACTTAAGCCCTGATCCGGAAGCAACACTAATTCTGTGTACAGATGCATCACAGGCAGCAGTAGGTGCAGTACTACAACAGCGAGTTAATAATGAGGTCAAACCACTTGCCTTCTTTTCAAAGAAGCTAGAACCAACCCAAACTCGATATAGCACTTTCGGTAGAGAACTATTGGCTATTTATCTAGCTGTTAAACATTTTAACCATTTACTGCAAGGCAGAGACTTTGTGATACTCACTGATCACAAACCTTTAACCTATGCCTTTAACGCGAAAAGTGACCGTTATTCCCCTAGAGAAATGCGACAATTGGATTATATTTCCCAATTTTCGACCAACATACAGTTTATAAAAGGTGAGTCAAATGTTGTTGCGGATACTTTGTCACGTTTCAACGTCGATGCAATTTCCTTCACCAAAGGAATCGATTTATTAGATATGGCACGTTTGCAGACAGATGATCCTGACCTTGATGCTTGTAAACAAAGTTCGAGCTTGTCCTTAAAAAGTGTTCCTATACCGCATTCTGACTCTACTATCATTTGTGATACTTCTACTGGAACGCACAGACCTTTTGTGCCAATAGTGTACAGAAAAGAGTTTTTGATTGTCTTCACTCACTATCCCATCCAGGGATTCGTGCTACTGTGAAACTGATTGCCGAAAGATTTGTCTGGCCAAAGATGAATGCAAATATAAAACTATGGACCAGGACTTGTGTACAATGTCAACGTAGTAAAATACATAGACATACGATTACAACACCGTCAGCATTTAGTCTACCCGACCATCGTTTTCAACATGTTCATGTTGATTTAGTTGGTCCTCTGCCTCCATCTAATGGATTCACTTACATTTTTACTGCAGTGGACCGTTTCACTAGATGGCCAATGCATGCCCAATAAAAGATATCTCCGCGGAAAATGTTGCTGCTGTATTCCTCGACAGATGGATCGCTAATTTCGGTGTACCTTCTACAGTTACTTCTGACAGAGGTTCACAGTTCCAATCTCACCTCTTCAATGAATTTACCCGCATTTTAGGAATCCATCACATCACTACAACAGCATACCATCCAGCAGCGAATGGACTAGTGGAACGATTCCACAGACAACTAAAAAGCTCATTGATGGTACAGCCTGATGTTTCTAGATGGAGTGAATCTCTACCTCTTATTTTACTAAGCATACGTTCCACAATTAAAGAAGACCTACAATGTACTCCGGCACAGCTCGTCTATGGAGCTAATTTAACCTTACCGGGGCAGCTAGTGACGCATAATGGCAAACCCGTATGTACGGATCCCACTTCTTTTTGCGAAAGACTAATGAGTCATATGAATAACATTAAGCCTGTTGCACCTCGGCCAGTTGTCTTAAAAGAGCAAGTTAGCAAGCATCTAAATACGTGTAAATTTGTATTTGTTCGTGTTGACTCCGTAAGACGCCCTCTACAACATCCTTATGAAGGACCATTTGAAGTAGTTGAGAGGCAAACAAAATATTTCACAATCAATAAGAACGGAAAAAAAGAAACAGTTTCGATCGACAGGATAAAACCTGCTTTTATAGAATCTGAAACACATGACAGCCGAAAGCCGTCTAAAGACAGCGGTGATCACACAACGCAGCTTCCAGTGTTTCCAAATAATTCTTCACCAACTCCGACGAAATCAATATTCGGTAAAACAGACAGTTCTAAGGTTACAGTTCCCACAAATTTAAATCCTAGTTCCGACACTTTAACCTCTACGAAAACAACTCGTTCAGGAAGACATGTACATTTTCCTAAACGTTATGTTGAATTAATTACTTAATCTTTATTCTGTCATTACCTGTAATATGATTAAATATCTATGTTAGCAGAGTTACTAATACCATTTTTTTTGCAAGCATTTTTTTTTCTAAAAAAAATTCTTGTGTACTACTAATATTGATAAATTCATTGTGTTTTTCTCTACATGTGTATGCGTTTTATATGATGTTTATTATTAATTGTGCAAATACATACAATTTCGTTGGACTCGTTCAGTTTATCACTAATTGTTTACACAATTTATACATGTATTTACACTTTTCGGTGAACTCTCAATTTAATTACCGTTATTACTAATGATACTATTATTATTATTATTATTATTATTATACACTCCGTATTGTTGTTAAAGTTTTTATATACATTAAAGTCTCTTTACTACAAGACAAACATTTTGTTCTTAAATATGTATACACGTATGATTTTTTTTTAAAAATAACATTTGTTTACCCTTTTCGTTCTGTAATTTTCTCCTCCCTCCAAAGCATTTAGAGTTTTACGTCGGGCATACTTTCACTGACGCATGCCCTAGGGGGGGAGTTATATGGTGACATATATTCAGTGATTTTTGTAACAACAAAAATAGAAACCATTTTTTCTTTGTAATTTGTCACACTTTAGTTGTAACCACATTTTTATTCAATATCTGTTGTTTTGCTGTATCACTTGTTAAAAAGACGATGATAATTGTTTCGATGAATGATATACACTTCTACTACCGGGTTGTTTAAAATATAAAACACTATCTACGCCGTTGTTCTTCTGTTTTATTGGCCACCGTTTTGATTGAAGACTATAATAGTATTATAACATCATTATAGGCCTTCCGACTCAACGTTGGACTTTTGGCACGGATTACTATTGTATAATACTATTGGACTCCGTCTTCCTCATTACGTCATTGGTGCAGTCACTTGCAGAGGAACACCTGTCAATCAAGTGAACTCAGTTTGTGGTCGTTGTCCTCACGAGGCAGTTAACAAGTAACATTCATTCTATAGTAACTGTTAGCGTCTGTTTGTTTAATATACCTTTTGTATTGCTAACGGTATTTTATTACCTTTGTTTTTACTAACGGAAAGACATCTAGGTTTCTTAACCATTAATTTGTTTTGGTATATCATTGTTAACCTAGTGTATCAATATATCTTGTGTAAGCTCCTTTTGTTTGGGGACCACCACAGGCTCTACAGTTATAAGTCCATAATTATAATATTTTACAAAGGCCAAAAATAAAGCATGTATTAATTAATTTAACAATGTTATGTGTTGACAATTGTTCGCTCATTATTGAATATTCTATGGGGATTTTTAAAATGCTGAATAAATAAGTCATTAGTCTTTACTCCTCTCACTGTTATCTAGAGAATCGCTTTCACATTAAATAGGACTGACCACACGATTTCTTTCTGCACATCCACCTATACAATGACAGACCATCATATGATAATAGACACGACACGTTTCCATCAGGTTCACCGGATTCAACATCTACAACATCTGAACACTGAACCAAAGTCATGCACAACCAATACGAAGAAACACGTTGCACATTGCTGTTGTTTGAACTACATAGACTGAAGCAATATTAGCTCAATCGGTCAATAATCAACGCATACTGTGACCGACAATACATGGGAATCACTATCGATCTTATCTATCTCAACAGCTAACTATGTGATTTTCTCTAGTATTTATTATTTTATACAATTCAACCGAACAACACAGTACCCACTGAATGGAGATTATAAGCATTCATCACAAACTACTCATCTCATTGAATATTTATGAAGCATTCAGTAACCGTATTCTATTCATATGAATAGCTGACTGAAATTTATGAGAGAATTCATGGTTACAATAGCGAGCTGATCACTTGCCTGATCGTGGTGATTATTTGCACAATTGTTTTGCTCAGACGAACAATAGAGATATTCCGATTAAACTAATACTAGATTCCCATCAAAAATAACCAATCTCTCACACAATAAACCAAGTCACATAAGGAATATGTTATCGGTCTGATGCCTAGTACTTGTATTATGACACTTGACAATATTAGGCCAATACGAAACGAACTGAAGCAATAAGTGTTAATCCACATTCATTGACCAACCACAGCTTCATATGACCAGACATATATCTCCTAACACATGAGTTCAATCTGAAACTTAAATGGTCTATAGCTTAAATGGTCTAAAATCAAATGAACTGGCCAAGAATATCGAGTTGCTTAGCCTATAAACAATCCAGTCAACAAGATTTCATCTGTACTAATGACTTAATAACAGGATATTGATCAGTTTTGGACTATCAGTTTATACATAATCCATATACATAACTCTATTACAGTTCTAGTTTATATTGTTGTTGCTGTTGTTAATCTGATCAATCCATGGATGAATCCACATCGTTTAAATCATTTTGAAATTCAACGAGCTAACCTGTGAGTTTTAGGGAAATATTTATTCATTGGAATAGGTAAAGATCAAGTGATCATGGAAACGATGAATTGTATATCAGTGAACAGATTCTCAACTATAATCTCAGTAATGATGATTCCTCAACAACAACAACAACAACAAACATTTCATCAATAAAATGAAAATCTCTTCAAACAGTCTCAACTTTAATTATATTTTGCTAATCTAACGATCAGTTTGTGATGAATCCATGTTATATTATTCAATAATTTAATTAGAATGACCTTATTTCATTGACGAGAAGAAGAAAAGAAGAAGAAGAAGAGCGTTTAAACAATCTAGTATGATAATAATAAGAAGAATGATATTGGTCCAATATTATCATGCTATCAAGCTTATGATTGGACAGTTCCACTCGTATAGTTTGTTCAAACTAATACACGTGATAACCTACACATTATATGCATATATATAGAGAGAGACATTTATGCATAGAGATGTATGAGACGGTCTCATTGAAGTAACTAAATAACAACTAACCAACCAACCAATCAACGATGAACAGTTTAGAATCTTATTGTTTATCATTTAAAACTGGTGCAATTGTAGAGAATCCAATGGTTTGATTATCATATTGAACTATTAAGGTGTTTTTCTTTCAAATAATACTAGAAAACTCTTCCATCGAAATGGAAAGCATGGAACACATTAATTGATCGATTGCCGGAACTATCGAGAAATCGCAGTTTGAGAAAAGAAGTAGAATCAGTAAGTAATTGATGATATTGTTTAGTTGTTTTGTTTTCCTCAAATTATTTTATTGCAAACATAGATTTAATACTAAATATTACGCATATTTGAGTTGTTTTAACTGAGGGAGCGTTGTTGGGCCCTTTATTTTGACGTCAATTACATCGGACTATGTTGTCGACGGGCTCACCACTTTAATAACCCGATATCTGTTTTGTAAATTACTTCACTATAAACATAGATTTTGTACTATAATATTACGCATATCAGAGGTGTTTTATTTGAGTGCACGAAATTATTACGTAAAGTTTACAAGGCAATTAAATCTGGAAACATATACAATAGTCTATAGTAATCTAGCTCACATGAATAATATATGTGTTTCTGATATACATAATATTTCAAAATAGAAGAATTCCTGTATGGACACTGAAGTGATGTGTCCTCACCGATTCGGTCCCGTGTCAAACATCATGAAATCCAGATCAAGGGTTTCCTGTCGACCACCTCGAATCGCCATCTCAAGAGAAATATTATTGATAATGTACTGGAAAACCGTTTGATTATGTCAATTCAAAAGAACTTCACCTTAATAATTATTCATTTCCAACATTTCCAATATCGCCCTTCCCCTACCAGTCATTCATTAAAAATTATGTATTCGATTCCACCAAGCATATAGTTATTCGAACACCTTTATTGTGTATATGTTTATTGGAAAAGAATTCCCTATCTTAACCAGTCACTCTATAACTGAGTAGATATTTCAAGTCGGTTTCAATATTGCAAAACTGATATATATATATTTGTAAATGAGTGTGAGTTGTCATAAGCAAAGATGGATAGTGGCAAGCAGTGGAATCCACGATGCGCAATTCTTCTCATTTGGGACTCGTCAAATGGATATGACAACAATGGTGAGATACACGAAACAACATTGAATGAATTTAAACTTCACCCCATTGCACAAGCACATGGCTACCAGGAATCAGTAGCTAATTGGGTAACACGATGTCGTTTGAAGTGATCAGTTCTGGGTCCGAGTCGCAGAGTGAACATCTACTGTGGGATGCAGATTCTTACAGCTGACCAGTCCTAAATAGGACGAAACTCGCGTCCTACATTCCACTGCTAGCCACTATCCATATTTGCTGATAAAGCTTGTGACGTGATGCGATGTTCAGACAATCCACACACGATTCACATATGTCAACAAGAGATGGATCAATTGCAGACATAAACAATAGTGGGAAGATACGAACAAACAACACCAAGTGAAAGTGAATTATGTTCAACTGTAAAATTCTGTAATCAGTCATCAATGTTTCTAAGAACACAATCTTAGTTGATTACCGGAAAGTGTTTTGGAGCATTATTAGTCTGGTCGAAATCTATATTGGGTACAAGTTTCTTCTTGATCTGTTAAGAATGCATAATAATTGGGTTATAACAATTATAAAGGTCGAGAATTGTATCATTCGTGCTTAGGGAAACAATCAGAGAATATGGATTCACATAATTTCAAGTTTAATATCATGTGTATTTATATTACTCCTAAAATATTTTATCGGAACTACAAGACTCATTCATTTCAAGTATCATCAAATGTCCTCTACTTAATAATATTCATTTATACTTTTATTGGTGCATTTCTGAAATAACATGTTCGTATAAGCACTTTCAAACTTATTCCTTCAAGTAGAATGCTGATCCTGTGTTCATATATGGAGAAAATGTGGTGATTCAATTCACTTCTCATTTTAAGTTTATTGTCGACCTCCGGTCTACCCACTGAGTTTATATATAGATAATTCCTATTATATGAAAACTGTGAGAAAATGTCGTTGAAATATACAGAGTAGAGATTTCAGACATTCTGATACATGCTTTCACTCTTGAACATTCAATGCGGTCGATTAATCTGCTCATTGCTGCACTATCGCTTCAATGAAATACAATTGAAAAAGATAATCAGATTACAGATTAATAGTAATAAATGATTAGTAAAATTACTTGTACGTTCTTGTAACCCAAATAGTCAACTTTTCTCCTAGTTACCACTTTTAGATTTGGATGGTCTTGATAATCATAAGGAATTGAGATTGGCACATAAAATTCTTGCTTTCATAACTTCTGTTTATGTATGGCAAGATGGCGAAGGTGGTGAAACAGAGGTAGGTGAATTATTCGAAAATGATATGTGTGTGTTGTAGAGTGTTGAATAATTATTGAGTTACATCACGCTTCATTATACTTCTATATCTTGGAAGTGATTTTAGCAAAAGCGTAATACACTCATCAGCTATTGTTTTCAATAACTTTATCATCAGTCTCTACAGTTATAAGTCCATCACTATTGTGATATTTTTGCATAGGCCCAATTTTCAGTCATGTATTAATGACTTTGACAATGTAATATGTTAAAAATGGTGAAGGTTTGCATCTGTTGTGGTATAACTGCTTCAAGATAGTGTCATTTGTATTGTAGATAGGTGATCTAATAAAGGTCAGAATGATTTGGTGTAAAGTGTCCAGTCACAATCAGCATAATAGTAATGTAGTACAAATGAAAATGGGAAAATCATGTGAATAAAATGCATAGTAGGCGAATTTCATCTTGTCAATTGAGATAATAATGATGATAGTTATAATATCTTTGTGTAAATAATGATATGTCATAGGAGGAGTGTTATCAAGGTAATTGCGAAAGAAAAGTGTTCCCATGAATTGGGAAAGATAGAAGATTAAGATAGATGTAATCATAAAATATGAGGGTGAATGGATTAAACAGGTTTATAATATTCAGCTTAGGTATCCGTAATCCAGTTTTAGACCAAGGTAAACATAGAGACTGGATATACCTTTTCTGCATACATAAGTTCGGTTTTCTGGAGTTGATCCAGATGGCCTCGGCCATGTTGGGTAGCCGTAATCTAGCTCCTTGAGGTAGATATCTTAGAACTAAGGATAAAACAGAGGAAGCTTCCTCTATTTTAACATGATGTTCTCCATCTACCAAGTGATAAACAATAATACTGTTGATCGATTTATTAACTTCTCTTCCCAACTATGTTGGTACATGTTGAGGAACATGCAATGATAAAGCCGTTTGATTACGGTCTACGTTCCCAGCTGCACAGGAGCAGTTGGATTGGTATGCACACATGGAGGAGCCCATCATCGGCTAACTATCTTTGATTTGTTGTGTAATTACTGGTTTAGTTTAGAAAATCATATGTACCTTGGTGTCGTGCAAGGTCCTTTCAACAGATCTTTTGAGTCGACGTGTTAAAATATCACCCGCTATGTTCCCTTTAAAATCCAGTCTCAGATATAGGGATTTTGCTGATTGAGTTTCAATTTCTTCCTATTGTATTGGCTTCCACTAGGAATTTTCTGACGAGCTTATCTGGATAGCCATATTTCACAATGTGTTCTTTATGGCACGGTCTATCCTTCTAGAAAGAAGGACATCTAGGAAATCTACACTATTGTCTTTCTCTTCTTCGCTGGTGAATTTGATAGCTCAGTGGACGTTATTGGAAAAGTCTTACATCACCTGTTCATCGATATTTTCATCGTATACGATTAGTGTGTCATGTATGTATCGATAGTAATAATCTAGCTTATTTAGGATGTCATTCAACGGTCGATTTTCTAGTTTGGGCAGCAAAAGTAATAGCAAGTATTGAGTCTAGTGGTGATCCTATTGCTATTTCATCTACTTGTCTGTAAAATTCATTGTTAATCATAAAGTAGATATTCATGGTACATTTGAACAAAATTTCCTTCATTTTACTTATTGGGATCTGTATCTCTATGTTCTTTATATAGCAATTGTTCATACATGTAGTCGATATTTTCAGTCAAGGGGGATGTTAGTGAACGAAGATGCTATTGTCTGGTGATAACATGGTTTCGCCATTCTATTCATATTTCTTATTGTATCCACATGATCTTATTATATTTCTGTACTTGTGGAGCCTGGTAATGAAGTTATTCAAGAAAATAGTTGACTCAAATATTCTTCATTTAAATAGTTAGTAACAATTACTTATAAGATGTGGAATAACTTTAAAAATTGAGTGTTTATCAGAGATAATAAACCAATACTGTTTTTGTGTAAAACCCTATTGTCTGATGTACAGAGATATTGTGGTCATTAACAGTGTCATTGTTTATGTATCTTAATTAGGCTGATAGTGAAATCATTGTTTTTGTAGTGTTCTGATCAAAAGAAAAAGTAGTTAGCAGAGAAATCAACTGTCGTATGAATGCGAAAACAATAACGTTTACGAGTACTTTATTAGTCTGTTAAATGAAGCATTAGTTGGATGAATGCAAAATGTTCTGGCATCACAAATGACCCATATTATATAGAGTTTTTTTTGTTGTTGACAAAATAAAGCAGAATTGTGACTTGCCTTAAAATCTAGTGTGAGAGAATCGCCTTGTTCAGAATTGGTTAGCTAGATGTAGTTGTTGATGACCAAATTAAAATTCGAATGTACCACTTACAATGTCAAACTGCAACCTACTTAGCTACAGAATCCAAACAACTATTGACTTTCCAATCAATATGAAGTTGTTTTAGAATGGTGTGTATTTCTCTGTTGTTGATAATAAGGACAGTAACTGTTGAATCTCTGTGGAGTGAACGTACATGGTGAACGGTTTGACAATATGTAACTGTTCAATCAAATGTCTTATTATAGATATGTTAGAGTAATCATTGAAATTAAGATTTTAAAACGCAAATCTCTGCATACATTTTTGGACGTGTTTATAATCAAGTATTTTATTAAATGTTCCACGTAGATATTCATCTCCATACTTGTTCTTGCTCTAAATATGATTTCAGTCATTACCAGTACAAATCGCTAAACCACTATTACAAGTTTCTGATAGACTTGGTATACAGCCCATACTGACCAATGAAGATCTAGTCATATCCAATTGTATTCCTTCAACTTTGCCAACAGAAGAACAAAGTTTGAGGTATTCATTTATTTGATCACATTAATATGGTATATTGTGATACATTCAGACAGTACTACACTGGTATCTCAATCAGGTTTTAGTCAATAATTCATTTAAATTGATTAGGTTTTTGGTTGCGGTCATAGATCGTTCGGTTTTAGACCCGATTGAAAGCCTGAAAGCAGTGGATGTTTGTCTTGTCCAATTATGAGACTCTTGAACAGTGCACATCACGATGCGGCACCAGACGGACTTGAACCGATTACGAATGAAAATAGAATACAAGAAAATTGGATTTGATCGAAAATCGCTTTTTTTGGTTGATTGACAACAGTAGATTATTTGCATACATCACTTCACCTATTAAGAGTTACAGCTGTATTTTTGAAGAAAATACATTAAGTTGTGACACGTGTTCGGTCACTCACTGTAGCGTCGCTCTTGTACTGATAAATAAAATTCCAGAGATGTAATTTAGTAATGTCAAGTTTCGCCAACATTTCGCTATCGAAACAACACTTATCATGTCCACCCTAATTGCATGTTTTTCTCCAGTTTTTTACAATCTATACACAAGCCCACATATCATGGAAGTTGGGAAGCGTTTATAACTCTGAGTGCCGAATGTGAACTATTCTTTGCACCTATATTACTGGTAAGAAGAATAGTTGTATATTTGTTTTGATAAACTAATAGAATTTCTAATTAAATATATCAGAAGAAGAGTTCTCTTCTATCACGTTGTATGGGTGAGACGGATGTATCAAAAGTGAAATATATATGTAAGGCTGTGACTGTATTTCCCCGTCGTTCGTCAAGTATTGATTGGGAATACAAATTCACGAAATTCATAAGCATATGTTTCGCAAAATAATGTCTAGATTTTCTTTAATTGTTAGTTTAGGATTTTATAAGTGAATTTCAATACGTCTATTCCTATCTACATCTTACGTTCAAGGCATTTGACGTTTTAATATCTGTTGGATTATTGAGGCTTCAAACAATTAGCAGTATTGTAATGGATGCTACGCACAAGAATGTTCGTAAGCTGTATGTCGTGACAGTCGTCACAAAGAGTGAATTGTTATTGTAAAACGAAAGCACACAGTAGACTGACCATTTGATGACCACATGAGAAGACAAGTTGAATGGTAGAACACACTGGGTTATGCAAACACATGATCGGAGACTGGGTATACGTATGATGTAAAGCCTTTGCAATTTCGCTTAACAAACAGTTCATTCGTTAGCTCACTGTCTTCTTCTACACTACGATTAGATGTTAAATAATCAACTCAGTTAGTCAAAATGTACATACATAGATCTGTGCAGCATGCTGTTCTGTGGAGATCAGTTCAATTCGGAAACTCTAACAACTGTTGGTTGTGTGTTGAAATTGAAATCTGAGGAAGATACTCCAACTAAACTGAATTTACCGTGGAGTATTCTTTACTTGTTGATGGTCTTGCAGATGGTCTATGTTTGTATCGAAATGCATATTAAATCATTTTTTCATCATTAGGTGTTAGTATCATACTCAATACATTTCACGTTTCTTGTAGAACTTAAAATATATATGTCTCACTAGTCTGTAATGCAGATTGAATCTTATCGAACGATCTACAATGCAGACAGTAATTTGAGGGATTAATTACTTACAGACAGTTGAAAGAAAACTCTCTATTTATTTTACGACAGCTTGAACTTATCACCAAGGCATATTGTTATTCTTGAATGAACAGTCATCCACTGGCGAAAACAGCAACATATTTAATTTCGAAGTTATTTCTTATCAATGCAATTCATGCTACTCATAACATTAATGTCACCATGAGAATGATGATAGATGAATGCTATCTTGCTCGTGATTAATCACCATATGATTTAGATCTTTTGAATTATAAGAACACGGATGAAATGGTAGATGTGATTTAGGTGCTTTTTGAGTCGTTCTGATTACCAAAGTTCATGTAAGAGTTCACATCTACTTTTACATTCCTTAAATAGAAATTCACGCACACACGCACAGTTTGTTAGCAGTAATTAGAGAATGGTGTGTTTCTTGTCAGTATAATTAAACAATTCCATATCACACCATAAATCTTAATAAAGTAGTCAGTCATGAACGTTTGAGTGATCCAACAACCTTTCAATTTATTGACCACCAATTAAGTCAGCTAGCAATAAGGTGTTCCACTTGAGTTAATTTTGGTCCAAATTTCACATTTTCAATTTTCACTGGATAGAACAGATCAATTCTGTGGTAACAGTTTATAGGTCATCCCTAATATCGAATGTTTTCGTATGATTTACCAAATACTTATCTATATGACCATCCTATTTAGGTTATCACTTGATTAGATTCTACTCGAATTACAGATTTATAAACGATATGCCATTGAAACAGTGTCGACTCATTTGTCGAGCGATGACAAAATCTTATTTACTTCATGGATAACATGAATGCATTGTGTTGAGTAGTGAACAATGTGATCATGTTTTATGTAAACCGACATTTCATCCATCTGATCTATAAATAACTGGTGGTGAGAGTTGAATTTTAGTGAATACTCAGAATAGTTAGAAAGTAAGAAAATGGAACTAGAATGTTATTTGTAGAGAACAGATATTTTTCTGTGCACTTCCATTTACCCAGAGGTGATTAGTTTGATACCTTCACTCTATAATACGAAATTGTGTGTAGTAATACATGGTTTGTGCGGTTTATTAGATTTTCGTTGTTCCCAATCCATACACCATTCAAGGATTTATCAATGTTGATAGTCATTCTAATCTTTTGATAGAATTTGTAATCGTTTGTAGGAAATTATGAATGCCATTAAAGCTCAAGATCCATTGAATGAGGATGCTATCACAGAATGCTTAGAAAATATAGTTAAAGCGTTTGTACAATTTAGAAATGCATTAAAGAATTTCTATGGTAAGTTGAATACTTTGAACTGTTTCAAAATTTGGTTGGATGGTTTATGGATAAAATGAGTGAGTGAGATTATAATATATGGACAATATTTGAGAGATGTCAAAGAGACCTTGAGAATGTCCGCTTACTAACAAGAGTTGAATGAGGATGATAAAATAGTGTGAGGAATTAGGACTATGATGTATAGTTTGATGTTAGGGTTGTGAATCAGATTTAGATATTTCATCACAAGCTGGCAGCAACTATAATGAGAACTTTGTTCGAATCATACTTTGTTAGGTATCTTTTGTGTTGTTTCGTGTCCATTTCTGACAACCTTAAACAAACTTCCTATTCATGTGATCGACCGACTACACGAGTGTGGAGGAAGCTTTTATTAGCTGAGTGAATTGGAAATGTGTGAACACTCATTGACCAGTGGTATATATCTCATTGATTAGAAATACAAGTCATTTCTTGATCAATCATGTGCATTTATCTTTTGCCCTGTATCCAAATTAATCAACATATCAGTATCACCATTAATTCAGTTTAGTTTTTTCATTGTACCAATCAATCAATCAATCAATCAATTCAACATGTTATTTATTACATGGAGCTACTTTTGTGCAACTGTTGACTTACATTTCTTGAACTTGAACTTAATAGGTAAATTAAATTCAGAAGAATTCTATGTCGATTTAAGACCCATTTTGTGTGGGTAAGTGAATGTCATTCATTTGTGTGTCAATGGAAAATCAACTTTTAATGAATGTCACAATAACTAATAATGCATATGATCAGAATTGTTAGACAGATAGCATATTACTTAATTAAATCACCTTAGAATATGTAGTTCCTTGTGAATTATCTCCCTGTAAGCTCAAATGAACATTTCACACTATGGAATACAATGTTTGATATAAAGGTTATATATCATTCGGCTAGAAACTAGCTGTTTTCATTCATGATTGGAAGGTTTATTTCATATAATTAAAATAGCTCATGGTGTCACTGAATACAAATAGAGAGAATTCAGTGAAGAAAACTTTCCTTTCGACGAAATCATTTACTTAATCTGAACATTCATGTTTATAGTTATATGGAAAATATATATCTATAGAAAGATAGGAAAGATTGCATCAGAAACTGATTCGAAACTCTTATTATCAAAGGAGGTTACTCAATAATCAAGGGGATCGAAGGGAATTTGAGTCAATATTTTATGTACTGCTGGGGCACTGTCGATCCACGAACTTAAGCCCGAATCCAGTTTCTATGATTATGACCTATATCTTTCTCGTTTTTCCTCAAATCTGTCAATTGGACAATTATTTGAACCGTAAATTATTTTCATCCTTATATTATATGCTATTACCCCTTGATTAGGGCATAACATCATTTGATTATAAGAGTCTCGAATCAATTCATGATGCATTCTCTTCCATCCTTCTATAAACACATATTTTCCATATAACTATAAATACGAATGTACAGCATAAGTAAATGTTTATTTTATAATTAAACAGTGATCAGCTTAATCTTTGATAGTGTAATTATATTTCAACCACCCTTAAAAATATTCTAATTAATATAATTTGGATAATTATCAGAAAGTGAGTTTTGTAGAGATGGTAGTAATTTAATAATTGAATTCATGATTCGATTCAAGCTAGACTACCACGGAAAACCTGGAAGCAGTGAACGGCCGTTATTTGCTGGAGTTCTAGTGAGAAGCCATGACTAGTGGTGTTCAACCGTGTTTCGTGTGAGGCAGTGACTCACTGAAGATAATGTTGCATGGTGGCACGACTTCGTGGATAGGTTCAAGTTAGACATTAACACCGTTGGATACTGGCCGACTTAGTGGTCCAGAGATTAAGTGTTCATGTGTGAGACTAAGACATACTAGGACAACACGTCCGTCCAGTGCTTCCACGTTTTCCTTGATGGTCTATCTTTAATCGACTCATGAATTCAACTATTATATTTCGATAATTTGTCACCTCGATGGAAATCATACAGATTTAGCAAAGAATCAAGAATCCATTTATATTTGTGCCAAATCGCATGACAAATTATTTGATAGTCGTTAGTTCATTTCATAATAATAATTATATGTATGCTTACTTTGAAATGGGAATCCTTTTATATTCAATTCTCATGCAATTATATTGTAGAAACAACTGCAAAATTTGTTCACTAATTGTTTTCGTAGTCTTATATGTACGTAGTTATTCAGCTAACGTGTTTGTTCACATTAAAAGTGAAACTTGAAAAGACAGAAACCATATTATAATGTGCCAAGTTCAATTAGGTTCTTCTATTGAACGACCTATTTAGGAACAGCATATAACTCAACCATCCATACTTTCCAGAGATCATATTCTATGAAGTCTAGTTATTATTAGTATGACTATTGATATGACGTGAGTTCATACAATTGATTTGAATGCTGTTCCTACATCATTGAAGTAGTCTAGTACTTTGCTGAAAACCATCTAAGATATTAGTGAAATGCTTTACTAAGATTTTCATCAAAATGTGATGTCTGTATATTTAGAGCTTTCATTGTCATTTGTATGTTCTGAAATGAATAGTTTATTCAATGAACTGATGCTGTGTTTTCGTATTTTACAGATGGTCTCATGGAAAACTTAAAGACAAGGGTCTAACTTACGAGACAAACTCACAACACATAAACAATAATAATAATAATAATAATAATAATAGAGAATAAGAAAGCCATATCAAGTTGTCCATTTTCTGGTCAACAATATACTAGCAACACGGATCGACGGAAATGTATCGGAGCAAGTGCAGCACAGTCAATAACGATTCAGACGTGCGATGCATTTCTCCAGATAAAACATGATCCTGGTAAGTAATCCATTCTACATTGAAACTGTGTTCGATTTCTAACTTCATTATTTCATTGTACATTCTACACGACTGCTATCTGTATGGTGGAATTCAGTGGGAGTCCTTTTATCTTGACGTTACTTGATGGTATAATTAAATAAGCATCGACAAATTAACGAAAAGTGATACACGCTTCAAAATTTCCGTCCAAATGTTTAATAGTATAATAATTGCATACCTATGTATAATATTTTGAATAATTTGAATTGTATTATGAACTAGGGATAACAGGATTAACGCAATTCAATTAAGAAGTCACAGGCACAAACGAATATATTGTATTTGGAATTCGAATTCGAGCATTCAACAAGTACAAAGGTATCATTAGTTCATTCAAACACCTCATCCGCCACAGCTTAAATAGAAGTATAAGTGTTTGTAATCGGTTGTACGTCTTCTTGTTAAGTTCATCTTGAGTCTGTCCGACATTGTATAAGATAAAAACTTTGTAGTATCTAGAAAGTGCTCATTAGTATTGGAATTAACAAACGAAATCGGAACAGACTCACCTGGAATTGTATACAACCAGCATGTCGGTTTTGTAATGAAATCATTAATATCTAGAATTCGAACCATAGATTTTTCAACACTATCCTCCCCCACGAAATAATGTTGGATCTTTATATCCCCAAGTTATGAATAATGTGGCTTCATTTAAAACATATTTCTCACATTGTTTAGAGTAAACATTAGAACTGTTTTTGTGATAAGGGTAAACAGCAGTTGATATGAAATCATCCGAAATGTAATCAAACTCGAGGTCACTTAGTACTCGTGCTTCGCATTGAGCAGGTTTTTCACAAGGATCAAATGCATTATGAGGAGAGGTAATATATGATATGACATCAGGATTTGATTGTTCTGAAATATTCTCATGAAATTCATTAGGACTGTCATTGCAGAGCGTAGGATCGTTAGAAAAATCAGCATCTATCCAAACCACATCAGGTTTCCGATCATGATTAGGTTCATTTAACATATTTTCCTCAATATTGCAAGTAATTTCATTAGAAATATGTGAATCATTAGGAAAAGTCATACCTGGTACAATAGCATGAGAATTCTGATAAATCGGTTGATTAGGAACTGTTGTCTCACAGGAATTCTGGATTTCATCTAACTCTGAACTGCCATATGACTCTGCACTGTCTTTTGAAATCGTTGATAAAGATAAATGATCATTAGAAACATCCGAATTATTGAAATTTAAATTGCAAGATTTAGTACAGCTTGAAGCAAAATGGACAGTAGCTTTGCATACTGACTGAATGTGTCCTATCTCACCACATTTAAAACATTTAGCATTAGGAAATACACATGAATTGCGAGCATGAAACTTTCCACATGATAAACATTTACCAAACTTCATCTCACCTTTGTGATTTGCTTTGTAATTCCTCGTTGAAACACCTTTCATATTTACACGAGAATAGGAATCACTGTTAAATGAACGCAAGTTTGATTGACCCTGAGATTGTAGTTCATCACGACGACTAAGCAAAGTATTAGAAATCTTCATCGACTGGATATCAAGTTCATTGACTGCTTCGTAGTTAATACACGCAGTTCTAGCATCTTGAAAGGAACAGTTTGGCATTTTTAACAACTCTCTTTCCAAACTCGGTATGTTAATTCCTGCAATTAATCGATCTCTCAGTTGCACATGAAGTTGATCACCGAAATTACACTTGGCAGCTTGTTTCTGTAATTCAAGGATGAATTCCCGAGCCTTTTGGTCATTTTGACGAACCATCTTATGAAACTTCGCCCTTTCACGGCATTCAAAACTGGTGCATTTTACATGACTTAATAATAGCTCTTTAAGAGTTGCATAAGGGAGTGAGATAGGTTTTTCTGGATATGCCAAAGTTTTTAATAAGCTGTACGCTTCTCTCCCAATGAATGTGAGGAAGTATGCCACAATATTAACATCCTCGTCATCTTCCTTGGTCATGCTCCAGATTTCGAACCTTTCCAAGTAATCCTCAAAAGCTTCAGGAGTTGAATGAATATCTAACTTTTCCATTGCAGGCTCCATCGCGACGCCAATATAACATTTTGAATTGTATTATGAACTAGGAATAACAGGATTAATGCAATTCAATTAAGAAGACACATGCACAAACGAATATATTGTACTTGGAATTCGAATTCGAGCATACAACAAGTACAAAGGTATGATTAGTTCATTCAAACACCACACTATGCCTATTAACTTTCGTGAAGGAGCCTATGTTGCCCACCAGCATTCTCCATCCACATCTGTTCTGGTCAGTCCTCTCCAGTTGTTTCCAGTTTCTATTCATCCCATTCATGTCTGCTTCCGATTCTTGGTACAGCATATTCTTTGGTCTTCCTCTTTGCCGTTTCCCTTAAGAATTCCATGATAGCTCTTGCCTCGTGATGCAGTTTCATGATTTCCGTATTGTGTGTGCTACCCACCTCCAGCGTCTCTTCTCAATTTCCTCATTACCTGGAAATCGTATGTTCTCACCCACAGTAAACTGTTTCTGATAGTTTATAGTCAACGGACACTGAGAATCTTGTGTAAACAATCGTTTAGAAATGCTTGTACTTCTGTGATGATGGTTGCAGTAGTTATCCAAGTTTCAGCTCCATACAGTAGAACTATGTTGATGTTAGTATTGAAGATTCTGACTTTGATATTGGTTGATAGTTGTTTCAAGTTCCATTCGTTGTTCAAGTGTAGGAATGCTGTGCTTGCATTGCCAGTCGTTCGCTTCACATCAACATGAGATCCTCCTTGCTAATCGATGTTGCTGTACAGGTACATGAAGGATGCTACATCATCCAGAGTTAGCCCACTAGCGTAAATGGGCTGGTGTTCTCCTCGTCGTATTTGAGGATCATGCTTTTTCCATGAAGTATGTTGAGTTCTGCAGATGTAGAGGCTGCTTCTGTTAAACTGTTTGTGTTGACCTGGATTTGTTGATGTGTAAGGGATAGAAGGATCAGGTCATCTGCAAAGTCCAAACCGTCTAGTTGCATGCAAGCTCTCCATTGTATTTCTTGCATCCCCTCCAATGTGGAGGTCTTCATAATCCAGTCAACCACCAAAAGAATGAGAAAGGGTGAGAGTATGTAGCCTAATCTTTCTCCGGTCCTCATTTGAATGAGTTTGTCAGCTGTCATCCATACTCCACTTAGCAGTGTGGTCCGTTGTGTGAAATCTAAATAATGTTGACGATTATCTCAAGTACACCACAGTGTCGAAAATGTTGCATATGTTTCTCCTGTCCATACTGTTCAACGACATCTCATAGTCAAGGAAGTTGATGTATACTGACGAATTTCATTAGTTGATTGTCCAACGATGATCTGTAGTGTCGCGATTCGGTCCGTGCACGACCAATCCTTACAGACTCCGACCCGTTGACGTGAAGTTGGGCGTCGACTGTATCTTTCATAACATACGGCAACACTGTTGAAAACATTTCCTGATTCCGGCAGTAGTGTGATGCCTCTGTAGTTCTCAAATTCGGTATCTTGATGAGATATCCTTCTTTCTAGTCTGTCGGTGGCACTTTTCCTTCATCTTAAAATTTTTCCAATAGGACTTGGATCATGTTTGTAGTTACTTCTGTATTTGACTTCAGTGCTTCGACTGGTATATTGTCAGGTCCTGCTGCTTCCCACTCCTGACGATCATGCAGATTTCTTCGATCGCTGTAGTGTGACGTCTATAGAAAGGTCTTTGCGTGATGCTCCGAAGTCCTGTGGATTCAGTAGGGCTGGTCTATTTAAGAGTTCCTCAAGTGTTCTACCCATATGTTCATCTGTTCTTAAATTTCAGTGATTGGCTTTCCTTCTTTGTCCTTAACCGGTCTCTCTGGTTTATTATATTTCCCTGGTAGCTTCGTCGTCGTGTCATATAGTTGTTTCATGTTTCCCTCTCACTGCTTTTTCGGCTGTCATTGATATTTCTTCTACGTATTTGTAGCTGTCGGCTCTAATACTGGTCTTCACTTGTTTGCTTCTGTGCAATCAGCAAGTGCCTTGACTTTCTCTGCTCTTGTTCGACCGCAATTAATTGCTGTCTTTTTTCTTCATTTCTTGAGTCCTATTCAGGGTTTTGATAGAGATTCATTCCTTATGATGACACTCGTTGCGACCCAGAACCACCTGACACGTTGAAGTTAGTGCTTCTTTGATTCCTTTCCAAATGTCCTCCATAATGGTTCCTTCTACTTTCGGTAGATTCTATAAGGCTTGGAACTTCTTGTTGAGAACTACCCTGAATTCACTGGTTTGCCAGTACTTCGAAGGAAGGCTGTATTGAACCTTTGTAGTGCAATTTGTCCAGTTGTTCAATGCTCATCCAGCTTCAGTTTCATCTTGGCAACCACAATCAGGTGATGATCTGATGCCATGTCAGTTCCTCTCTCTGTTCTCACATCTTCTGTTTACTTTCTTAATTTTTTAGTGATGCAGATCTGTTTCTCTGTAGTGAGGTCCGGTGAGACCCATGTAACTTTATGTATGTGTTTATGGGAGACTATTGCGCCACCTATGATCAGTATATTGAATGAATATATACTTTCAAATTTCTCGCCATTTTCGTTTCTTTCTCTCAATCTATGTCGTCCGTGATATCTTCAAATTCAATGTTTTCCATTACGACTTTAGTGTTTAGGTCTCCTATCAGGATGATCAGGTCGCTTCCTGAGCACTTAGCTATGATTGATTACAGTTTCTTGTAGAATTGATCTTTATCGTTGTAGTTGCCTACATTGGACTACGTTCAGTGTAATTTCCTCCTTCTTTCTTTTTAAAGATATTTTGATAATCATGGGTTCATGAGATTTTCATCATACAAGTGCCTTGTGTGCTTTTCTAGGCAACATCACAGCAACTCCCTGAGTGTGTGGAGCATTTCCCTCTTCGTGATCGAAATATGAAACCCTAGAAGTGTTTCAGTGAAGTTTCATAGTTTAATAAAGTACAAATAGTGATCTGATAAATACATTAGTCCGTGAAAAATGTTCCCTACGAATATATACTGTCTACTGTAATCACGGGGTTAATTGGTGTAGACACCTATCCTACACCATCCAATCATGATCATCATTTGCCATAAATCAAACACCTCTCTGTTCATATTGATTTTGTTTTTCAAGAGGATGAAAAATTCTTCCGTAACATGCAGACATATATGATAAAAGAACATCGACAGTTTCTTCAAGATCTAGCAATGCATAGTCGAATCCGTTGTATAGGTAAGTTCCAGAGATTAATTAATGGAAATGCCACTATATGATTGAATTTAACTTATAGTTGAATATAAATAGATTTCATAATTAATGCCTTTTGTTTGTCTGATTATGGGTTTCAAACGAAATGGATACTATGTCACAACTAATCTTATATTCAGTTTCATTGCTTAACCCCATCTCTTAATCATTGAGCTTCAACGCCTAGTTCAAACTTATATGCTATATTTTACGTGGTTCTATTTATCATAATCCTGTTAGAAAAACCTGGTGTTTGGTAATTTCTTATTTTATTTTTATTGAATTTGTGAATTTTGACAAATGTATGGAGGTGGTTAGATAATCAGAACATTGATTATCATACCGGTCATCATAATTTTGATTACGTAGATGTGTGTCAATGCTTTTTTTAAAACAAGGATATAGGATCTATTCAATGACAATAAATTGATGTAAACGTATTTTCATCTGAGACCGTCGTCAGTTCATTTACTACTGAGTATCAACCATACACCACTAAATAGAAGTTTATTAGTTAAAAAAAGATCCTTTATTCGAAGGAAATTCTAGAGGTCAAGCTTTTGCACGCGAGATCCGAGACCCTGGTTTCGAATCCCGCTAGTTTGGTCGTGGATGCACACTGCTGAGTAGTCGCATAATAGGGCCGTTCAGTGCTTCCAGGTTTTCACTGGTGGTCCAACATCAAGCGGTTTATAACCTAAATCAAAAATTTATTTAAATGGAATGTATTTTTGATAATTGGTTTTTGATTATATTCGGTGTGTTTAAATATACTGCCGAAATTTATGAATATTTGAAGTGAGTTAAGTAGATGATAGTGATCAATTAATGTGGTTTGTGTATGTTGAACACTGAATAAAGTTCATAAGAAGCAGTAACTAAGTGTTTTTGCTATGAGATTTGAATGTATTGATATAAGTCAAGATACCAACATCTGGTAGGACGTTGGTTGACCAAGAAGAAGTAACTTTCCTGTTTAGATTAGTTGTTTTTTTTCTCCTGAAATAACTCTGTTTATATCATTAGCACAACAGGTTTTCGTTACATGATTATGAACTCAATCACATAATATCATGATACCAACATTTCAATTTGTTCTTTATACTTCATCGAATCACTCGCTATTGAAATTTTACTTAATATTTAGTTGCTGAAAGCAAATCTTTTCGTATGAGAACAGCCTATAATCAATGTCTTCAATCATTGTGGAACTTCCGAAATGCTCACATATCATTAGTTAAAAGGTAACTATGGAATAAATGTTAGTTTATTGGAAAATGAATAATCACTTTTCATTAGATTCATTATACAACCATCACAAAGTGCAGATGCTAGAATAAAACAACTTGATATTAAAGGAACAGGTGGTCAATGTAAGTCCTTTCTGATCAATCAATTTCTATTTTGATTGAGATCATGAATGGATGAATGTTAGACCAAAATGGTAAAATTGGAATCACTGGACGACTGTTTCGTCCTAGTATTTGATCTCTGAGAAGTGCGCATCCACGACCATGTTTGCGGCGTTCGAATACATTACATTCGGTCTCGCATTTGGGATCGCAGGTGCGCACTGCTCAAGAGTAACATATCAGGACGAAACTGCCATCCAGTGCTTCCAGGATTTCAATGATGGTCTAACATTCATCCATTCATGATCTCAATCAAAACTCAACAATCTCCACAACCCATCACTGACAGTTTCTATTTATATATGATTTTAGGTCTAAATGTCTTTCTTCAACGTGTACGAGATGCAACAATTTCTGCATCTTTGAATTAATTAACCTGCTTTGAAATTATATCAGTTTATAAAAGAATGTAATTTTTTCTGTTTTATTAACATATTAATGAAAATATACTTGATATTTTCATAGTTTTCTTCTTCTTCTTCATTAACATTTGAAATGAACAGTCGATATATTGAGATTTGGACAGTACTGTTGTTTCTAGTATTAACTTTAGTGATAATCTCAATGCTTGCTGTCAGTAGTAGGTCATTTCCCAATGTCTGACGCCTAGATCTCGCACTTTAGTCTATTTTCCCGTGATAGAATATATAATCATTTGTTCATCGATTTTATGAGTAGTGTTCACACATGGAAGATGATCGCTTGTGTGTAATGCTATGGCAAATATTGAGGGGTTGGCAACGATTTTATCTGCAACGTTTTTATAATCGGAGGATCCCAAATCCAGTGAAACTAGAAATCAGGAACGAAGGAGTTCAAAGATACTTTTAAAAGGTCGTTGATGTGTTAGGCAGCATTCGATCTAATACGCCTGGTTGTTTCAAGAAATGCTTAGAACGGCGCGCACAGTGATCCAGATTAAATTCTTTGCGCTGCTTATTAACTAACGTACTATATGCATCATCATCACCCTCTACTTTATTTAAAACAGATGTGTTGAGTGTACATGTGTGCATACTTATTTTGAAATACGATATTTCAATGAACATCTGATGATCGAACGCATCAATTCGATTCAATTGTTCAACTTTTGCTCAGCTGTTTGATTGTTTCGAATACTTCACATGTGAATACTTCCAATATACTCCTGTTTGATTGCCCATCTAATTGATAGTCCTATCCTACTACTATACCGTGTTATAAATACTTGAGAAATACTGACCGTTCGTCACTTGGAACATTTTAGATTCTTTGCAGTACGATGCAGATTAGACCAGTCTAACACAATTCTGGATTTATTTCACTACAATACAATTACAGCATATTTGATACTCAATGTCATTTCTTTTTTAATGCAATTTCTGGTGATCCTAATTGACAGAGTCCATACAAAACCGCTTAGCTCTACGACAGAATAAGCACGTAATACCAGTACTGATGTAAGCGCCAACATTAGATCTGGTGGTCTTGTGTGTTAGAGATCTAACTTGCCATCAAACCACCATAACTTATTTGAAGACAATAGAGTCTTGAATGTCCACACGTTATGTTGTACCATTTCAGGCTGTGATAAGCGACCACATGTCAATTTGCCAAGACAAAGAGGTGAACTGAGAGAGCTTTATTCAAAAGCAGGTTCTGTTTCAAGAATCTTTGGCAAGACTACAACTTATGGACAAACCAGTGAAGTTAATGTGAGTGAATCCTGCATTTTGGCGTGAAATTTATTCATTCATATAGTTAAATAGCACTTTGACATTGCAGCTGATGTCAGTTAGTGGTGAAAACCTTAATTTTGATGACTAATTCAAATGCCAACCCTAAATTCTAATCCTAATTCACCATGCTAGTTTGCAACTGTCTTCCAGCAATGGTGAGTGACTTGTTCAGACACCATTATGGTGTCTCTTATAGGTCGCCCATAGATTTTGGCATCACCAAATCTGCATTATCAGTAACTAACGAATTGCATTATTAAACAGTATACAAAGGTTCTTTGTATTGATTCCACATGCAATGCTAATGACATGAAAATTAGACGTTGTTTGATAACTTTATTGTGTAGGTATCCGTTGTTTCAGTTATTGATTGTGGCTTCAGTACTTAATAACTTTGGAATGAAGAATAACAGTTGAGGTTATTTTAGACAAGCATGCTCCTGTGTAGTTGGAACTCATAAAAGGTTCTCGGGTAAAGATCGAGCCTACGAATTTCTGTCAACTTACCTAAACAAATATTACCACCTGGTTATTCAACCAATCATCAAATTAGGTTGAACAAATAAACGTTCCTGTTAATATAGGAATACTGTTCTGTTCTTTCTGGATCAATCAAGTAATGTCTGTTCAAAAGGTTCTATTGAGTTTTGCTGCAACACCGAGTGCTTCCAATTTCGAAAGACTACTTCAATTCACAAAAAAATTTACAATCCTAGTCAGTTCAAGTAACACGATGGGAAAGAGAAACGAAATAATATAGCTGCAGCAATAATTAAGCATCAGGTAAACAAAGTTGACATGGTTTATGAGAAGCATAGAAATTTCTGAAATCGATGCATTGAGAACCACCCATCAACAAGCTAACATAACCACATGAGGCCTTCATCTCCCCTGTGTTTTCATTAGAAAGGCGCGTAAATGCAGACTAATAACATTTGTCTTCAACCAGTAATAGTATTGAACAATTCATTATTGTCGCTTAGCAGATGCTGAATTGTTGCATGTTAATGCCTTAAATGCAGTCAATCTTTTTAATTAAATCAAAATTTCAAAATAATGAATCGAAGGAGTCGGGGTTTGTGAGGGTATCTGAGCCCGTATTGGCTCAGTTGAAAGGTCATGTGGCCCTTAGTCTTCAGTAGCCACATTAGGCCACACTGAGCAACAACACGAATAATCGTGTGGAGTGATTGAGGGTTCAATTAAATAGATATGTACATAAGATAGCACAAATGCACGTTGAATGTGTACATAAGGAATTCCAAATTATCAGCAAGAAAAATGATGGAATACTGTATACCTGACACTAATTATAGGGTGATCCAGTCTTTCTCAAAAGACGAATAATTCCTTATGACATGGAGTAGAAATACATAAGAAATTGAGTGGTTTGCGTGCAAAAGGTATAATTGAATTGGTTCAGTCTTCAGCTTAGAGTACTCTTACTGTTACGCAATTGAAGTCGGGTGGCAAGACCCCTGGAGTATGTGGTGACTATAGATTGACCCTCAACTCCCGTTCAGGTTAAATGAAGAGATGATTATCTTCAAATCCCTTTAGAGCAATCTTCATCTATTTTGAAGATAATTAGCACTCCTTTTATTCTGCACAAATACAACTTCCTTCCGTCTGGTCTAAGTTGTTCTCCAGCCATATTTCAGGAGGTTATAAGGCAGTTAGTAATCTGAAAGGTGTTGAAGTTTATCAAGATGATCTCATTGTTCATGGTTCTGATAAGGTAGTTCATGACTAGAGACTTATTGCCTTATTGCGTTGTTTAATTGAGAAGAATATTACAGTGAATCCAAATAAGTGTTCATTTTGTGTATCTAGTTTCGAATGTCTTGGATACGTAGTTGATGGTAATGGTTTTAGACAAGATATAAAAGGACCAGCTCCACCGACAAATGCACCGTCTCTAAAACATCCTACAGAACTACGTTCACTAGTTGCTGCTCTTCAATATTATCCCAGTTTTATTCTTAATTTTTCTTGTCGTCCCAGTTGTTTACTTAATATTTTGACATTCAATTCATCCAAATGGGGTGAGGAACAGGAGTCATGTTTACAAAGTCCACTAAAGTTTCTTCAATGTGACGCTGTTCTTTGGACTTACTCCCTTAGTGTACATTCTATACTTATTATAGATGCATTATCTGTGGGTATTGACGCAGTTTTGGAGCAGGAACGTAGACCAACTAACTGTTACTGAACAATGTTATTCACAAACTCAGCGAGAAGCATTAGCTGTGTTTTGGGCTGTTTAAAGGTTCCATAAATATTCATTGGAAAAGAAATTCACTATTGCTACTGATCGTGAAGCTCCAAAGTTTATTTATCATCCTAAACACTCATTAGCACATTCCTCAGGTGCTATGGTTCAACGATGGAGTATTGTTTTAAGTGTCTATGACTACACAGTTCAGCACAGAAGTGCCAAACAAAGTCGACATGTTGACTACATTTCCCAACAATCATTACAAGGTAGACCTGTTAGTACTTCAGACTGTTTGTTAGTGCAACGTTTACTGGCAAGACGTCCAGATCTTATTAGAGAAACTCGTAGATATTTTGTATGTATACTCAACGCAATACGGAAAAGTTGGAGTGCTAATCGGAAACGTAGATTCCCTGTCTAGTTTTCAAAGCGGGATGAGCTATCCACTACTCTCGGTATTTTGTGTTTAAATGGCCGTGTTGTCATTCCTCCTTCATTGCAAAAATCTGTCCTTGAAGATCTTCAAAGCGGACATTTAGGTGCTCAGAAAATGAAGTCCTTGGCAAGGCTCACATGTTAGTGGTCAGAGATAAATGCAGATATATGTCGTACAGCAGACAATTGTGAAAAGTGTCATAAGTTGAAAAGTCAGCTTTTGAAGTGGACTCTATGGTCAGTATCGTCCGAGGCCTAACATAGAGTTCATGAAGATTACTGTTGTTCAGTTCTTGCCAAACACTAAGCACTTGTAATCATTGATTCTTCTTCTAAGTGGCCTAATTTTTTTCACCAATTCACCAAATTCTGATTTCACAATCCAAACATTAAAAAATTTGTTTAGTCGAGAAGTGGTTCCCATAGTGCTAGTGACCGATAATAACTCTAGTTTTGTTGCGGATACAGTCACTATCTGGTTAAATGACATTGGGTGTAGACATCTGTTCACTGCTTCCAGAAAACCTTTTTGTAATGTTGAGGCAGAAAAGTTTCTCAGGAAATTGAAAACTGCTATTGATTTTACTGCCGCCTCAACATTTAATGGGCTGGAGTGGGGAGTAGATAATTTTTTTACTTCAATACAGAAACGCTCAACATTCTGTGACGAAAGAGGCTCCATCAAAGCTATTAAAATGAGGGATTCTTCGTTCGAATATAAAATGTTTCGAGTCTGCAAATGTTGCACATTATCGTGGAAATGATCTTTGACCAGCCACGGGGATTGTTGTGAAGAATGTTGAGAAATCTATGGTGCAAATTTTAAATATCAGTGATTTGAGCAAACACAATCAACATCTTGATCAAATACAATTCCAGAAACTAGGTGAGTCTGTTCCAATTTCTGTTGTTCATTCTAATACTAATGAGTACATTTTGGATAGTACAGAGTCGTTATCCAGTGCACTGTCGGATAAACACAGGATGAACTTAAGAAGGC